CCTACTGTTTGAGAAAACTCTCAGGTCTTTTGTAACATGCATCCCATACGGAGAAACGTCCCTTTATCTTAAAGTATTTCTGTTAAAGTGATCCTTATGTCAGAAATCTGAAGAAAAGTCCAAATTCTGAAAATTGTCCAAAATCTTAACATTGAAAAAAAAGGCAAAAATCTGAGAAAAGACTCAAATCTGAAAAAGTTAAAAAATTGTGAAAGAATCTGAAGAAAAACCGGTACCACTTTACAATAAGACTCCCCTTATAAAGGATTCATAAAGGGTTTCTAATTCGGTTATTAATTAGGTTGTAAACACTCCATTACAGTTTAGTAGCTGGGGCAGTAACTATAGTAACGCAGTGTGGGCGGAGCCGTGACGTCATCTTCAATGCGAACCATAAAACCAACATCAGCCGTTAGCTGTTAGCACTCAGAGCTCACAGCTCCTCATATCTGTTCAGAAACTAGACAGAAGTTAAACAAGTACAAACCACAGACTGTCTGTGTCATGGAGAATACAGTCGCTGGTTTATTTATGTCTGTAGGCCGTTGTTGTGAGTGTGGACGGTCGGAGCATATACAACGTTAGCTTAGCCAATCTCCATTCAGAAAACACGCATTTTAAAAGGTGTTTCGCCTGCCGTCTGTCTGCAGACTTGTCAAAGCATTAATTCATGGTTTTTACTAACCGGTATCAGTATGTTGTTACTTCGGCATCATTTTGAAACGTGTATTACAATTAAATCACGGTCAAATATGTTCATTGTGTTGTAGTTGTAGCCCCCTTGCCGTCACTAGTTTAGCATACTCACGCTTAAACCGTGCTACGCGCTGCAGTGGAAATGCGCCATTAGCTAACTTCGTCTTCTTCATCAGCTAGCATCCTTGGTATCTGTTGTTCACTGAGTTGATTGAACCCCATCCATCTTGATGTTTCTTGGCATCTCTTTATGACCATTTATTTATGAGTTACTAACATTTATAACTGCCAAAAGGGAGCCTTATTGTAAAGTTTAAAACACACATTCCCATGTATTAATGAGTTACTACCATTTCTAATAATAAGGCTTAGCAGTACAGATAAATGTGGGCTCTCTATTTGGCAAGAGGACTAAGCCTTATATTGGCTACTTAGCGAGAATCAACTCAGTGAGCAACAGATACCAAGGATGCTGGCTGATGAAGGAGACGAAGTAAGCTAGGTAGCCAATATAAGGCTTAGCAGTACAGATAAATGTGGGCTCACTATTTGGCAAGCAACCGGTCACAGTTGCCCTGTTTATCTCATGTCTTATAAAAGCTTATTAATGATTTATAAAGTGTTCACAACCTAATTAATAAATGAATTACAAACTATTTTACCTTTATACGGGTATTCTTATTGTAAAGTGAAAAAATCAAACATTTGAAAAAGACACAAATCGGAAAAAGTCAAAAATCAGAAGGAAAAAAAAGTCCAAATCCTGCACGAAGAGCGTCTTGTTTACTTCTCATTTTGTGTTTCATATCATTCTAAGAGACGATTTGCAAATAACTAAAGATATTCCTCTGTTTCCCTGCAGGAGTCTCCTAGCAACAAGCTGCTCTACGCAAAAGAGATCTCCACGTACAAGAAGATGCTGGACGAGTGAGTGTGTTTTATTAAATACACAGGACAGATGTGTGTTTATATATTAGTGCACAGCAGCGTGGATGCATTTGGATGCATCAGTTAAAGCTTCAAATATCAACTTACAAATAAATAAATATCTTTTCCCCCAGTAGTTTACAGTGTTAAAAAACAGAACATCAAATTCTCTCGTTTAAAATTAACATTATTAAGCAGAATCAAAGCCTTTTTTTTAATTATACAAGTGTGTGTGTGTGTGTGTGTGTGTATGTGTGTGTGTGTGTGTGTGTGTGTGTGTGTGTGTGTGTGTGTGTGTGTGTGTGTGTGTGTGTGTGTGTGTGTGTGTGTGTGTGTGTGTGTGTGTGTGTGTGTGTGTGTGTGTGTGTGTGTGTGTGTGTGTGTGTGTGTGTGTGTGTGCTCTAGTTACTACAAGGGCATCAGAGAGATGGTCCCTATCAGCGATCAGGACATGAACACACACCTTGCTGAGGTTTCCAGGGTATGTAAAGAAACTCATTTTAATAACAGAACATGGGAAATGTCTATTTGTAGGTGATTTTTTAACGCGTTTGAACCTTTGTTTTGCAGCAACACACACACGAGCTGAACACCGAGTTGGCCTTACATCAGCTGTACCAGTACGCCAGCAAGTACTACGATGTGGTGAGAAACGGCTTTCTGTCGAATAGGAATATGGTGGTTTTCGAGTCAACATTTTGAGAAAAGTCAATACTTGGAGAAAAACAGTCTAAATTCTGAAAAATGTGAAAAAAAGTCAACATTATGAATAATTTGATGAAATTCTGAGAAATTTGAAAAAGTCAAAATTCTGAGAAAAAATATCTAAGTCTGAAAAAAGTCCAAAATTAAGAAACATTTGAAAAAAAGTCAAAATTCTGAAAAGAAATCATAATTTGAAAAAAGTCAACAATTTGAGAATAAAAGTCAAAGTTCTGGAAATTTGAAAGAATTCTGAAATTAAATTCAAAATCGGAAAAAGTCATATTTCTGTAAAAAAAAAAATCTCTAACAGTAAAAATCTTTACTGTAACGCTTGTACATTTGATACTTTCTGTCATATTAGCAAATCAATCCAATAGAGTGCCACAGTGACGCGTCCTAAAACCCGGAAGTAAGTTAGCATTTTACCACTTCCGGTTCCTTCGACAAAAAGCAATGCAATTTCTCCATAGGGTTTAGGATAATATCTGTAAATAAGGTCTGTGGTTGAGACACATTGAAGAGACAGATCACGTTTTGACCCCACTGGTGATTTCTGAAGAGTTGACGTGTCTGAAAAACGATGGTTGTTACCAAGTGGCTGAATAGGACTACAGAAGTTGTCGAGGCCGTTGTACGTCATTACGCCGAACACGTAAACACTCCTCTAAGTTTGTTTGCCCTGTTCTGCTTGAAAGCAAGTCCCTGCCTCCTGCAAACTGTTCAAACAAACGCTTCAACTCGTACCATTTAGAATCTGTATGTTTGAATATGGATCTTAAGTTGGCGTGACGTTGAAGCAGCGACCCTGCTGTAGTTCGTTGATAGCATAACGTTAGCATTTTGCTTCAGGCGACTAGATTTATGATTATAAAATGATAAAAGTAGACATGTGGAGATTATCCTGAACAAAATGTGACCCGTCTCTTCAATGTGTTTCAACCACAGACCTTATTTCCAGCTATTTTCCAAAACCCTATGGAGAAATTGGATTGCGTTTTTGTCGAAGGAACCGGAAGGAGTTTCCTTGCGTGTTTTAGGACGCGTCACTGTGGCACTCTATGTAGAATGCTGTCTCTTGGATGCTTCAGTGTAATCCTGTTTTATGTTTCTGCATTACGAGTCAAAAAGCAGAATCTGAATCTTTACCCAAACGTTACGTCATTTTGTCGTCTTTTCCAGATCATCAAGTCTCTGGACGAGGACCCGGCGGCCCAGAATAAGCAGCTGACGCTCCGCCTCCAACAGATCGCCGCCGCGCTGGAGAACAAAGTCACTGACCTTTGACCTTTGACCTCAGTGAAGGTCGGATACTAAAACACACAGGATGTTGTTTTTCCCATGAATGGACCTAAAAGGAGGACGAGCTCACGGACTCTAAGGAATGTTTTGACCATAATAAGGACTGAAGTGGGAGGAGCCACAGGAAGCTGATGGCCATATAAGGACTGAAGGAGGGAGATGTTACGAATGAATGAAGATCTTTGGACAATTTAAGGAGAGAAAACACCAAGAAGGCCATTTTAAAATGTGTGAAATCAAAGGGTTATTTTTTTAATTCGGTGTGATAGTCGGTCCTTTTTGCTTCTCTGCACCACACAATTTATTTTATCATTCAAGGACTAAAGAAGTGCCACTTTTTGGATGAAGAATTTACATAAAAAGACATTACCAAATATTTTCTTTATATGCGACGCAGCCCTTTTTTTTTTGGAAGTACTACCACTTGCGTATCACAGAACTGTGGATTTGAGGAGAATCAGAATCTTGATTTAAGGTCAATATTTTTTGTTTCCACACTAAACGGCAACAAGAGAAATCGGATGTTTTGTCAGTAAAAGAAAATCGTTTCATCCTAACGCGTTTATTTAATCGACCAATAGAAACCCACTACGGTACACACCACTGGCCAATCAGGGCTCTTGGTTGAGGAGAGTGAATTCAGGGTACGATGTCCAAAAAAACCACATAATTTTAACCTTTTTTTATCATAGCCAAATGTTGTTTTTCATATCAGATCATGTGATGACACCACGCAGATTATTGCTGAATATTTGTTAGTATTATTCTCTGTATGCAGGCTTTCCATATATGAGAATGATCTTTTTAATGGACTGATACAAAGCCACTTCATTGCTTTATTTTGCAAAGTGTTAATCAGGGTGGTCCATATCCATGTGCAAGAGTGTGTGAGTGTGTGTTCAGCATTTGTATCATCACCGGTTTGCTTGTTTTGACTTCTGCCTAATCATGCTTAAAAAACACTTTTATCATTTACTGTGATTTGTTTTTATAATCTTTTTAGTTTCACCTCTGATTGCCCTTCATATATATAATGCTGCTTTTCGTTTCTGCGCACATGTGAGGAGATGAAGTGTCTTCTGAAGACAGGGTATCCATGCATCCTTCAAAAAGGCGTTGAATAAATCAAAATGTGAGGTGTTAAATGTATTAAATCCAGTTATTGTATGGCCTCTTCGTCCACCGTGCTTTGCAAGTGTTCTTCAAACTGCAATATGACAACAACAACAAAAGGTACGTCCATTCAAAACACACTGAAACAACAATCTAACGACATCACATACATACACACACAGAAACAAAACCATAAAGGAAATACATCTTAGTATGTGTATGTATTTCTTTGTTTGATTTGATGCATTTTAAGTCTTCATTACACAAGAAATGACATTAAAATACAAATGAAAGCACATTTGTGCATATTAGTGTCCTGCAATGTGTCTCCTCTTCGTGTCATCGTGAGGTTTCATCTCCTAAACTACACATTCATCATCCTCACCTTAAAGAGAATAATACATGTGCATTATTCTTTGCCTTCTGAGCCCAGACCACGTGCTTTATGTAGAGAGTTGATGTTACAAATATGCCGTTTGTAAGGTGGAGAAAAGGTGGTGGATTTATAGAATATTTACAAACGGCATCTTTAAAATATGAAGCAATACGACCTTCAGTTTGAGCACCACATGACCTCCAGACGGAAACTTCTCAGACCGTTTCTCTGTCAGAAATGTGTTTATTGAAGCCACATTAGTGCAGAGAAATCTAATATTGACGTGTAAATTATCCAGAAATAAAGAACTCTTTAAAGTAGAGACAGTACATACTGATATGAACCTGAACATCAGCAGGAGAGGACTCTTTAAAGTAGAGACACTACATACTGATATACACCTGAACATCAGCAGGAGAGGACTGTTTAAAGTAGAGACACTACATACTGATATACACCTGAACATCAGCAGGAGAGGACTCTTTAAAGTAGAGACACTACATACTGATAAACACCTGAACATCAGCAGGAGAGGACTCTTTAAAGTAGAGACACTACATACTGATATACACCTGAACATCAGCAGGAGAGGACTCTTTAAAGTAGAGACACTACATACTGATATACACCTGAACATCAGCAGGAGAGGACTCTTTAAAGTAGAGACACTACATACTGATATACACCTGAACATCAGCAGGAGAGGACTCTTTAAAGTAGAGACACTACAGACTGACATACACCTGAACATCAGCAGGAGAGGACTCTTTAAAGTAGAGACACTACATACTGATATACACCTGGAAATGCTTTTAATTTAATAAAAGCTCGCTTGTTGTTTACATTCTTGCAAAACCCTGACATAAAGTCATGCTCTGATAAAGGCAAGGACGCACTCTGCTGGTCAAAGTGTTCTTGTGACAGAAAACACAAACCTGTTATTGTGGGGAAATGACAGTATGTTAAATAATACTGCAATCCCTTTTAAGAATATACCAATTTTATATATTATTCATAAGGTGTATCAGTGTGAAATACAGTATTCAGACCATTTACTTGAGTGAACATGCCAAACAGACACTATGTAGAAGTCCTGTATTTAAACCTTTACTTTGACTGTAATACATTTGTAGTATTAAAAGTATGTAAGGATACAGCCACACTTTTCTTAAAGCATGAAAAGTATTGATTATGTAGTGAAATGTTCCCTAGATTAATATTATTGCTGCATTAATGTGTGTGTCTTGCATTATTTAATACAGATCATGCTATGGTTAGAGCAATTTTTTAATACATACTGCATATTTGAAATAGTTTTTTTAACGTTCATGCAGTTCTTAGCTTAGTCCCTGTCCTGTCTCCTTTATCTCACAGATATTATGTTCACCCTTTTACCTGTGTGATGCTTTTATGCAATGACAGAGCATGTAAATTGCCCTTTTGTGCTTAAAAATTCAAAATAAATAGTATATTTATGAGTTTTACGTGGTGGAAACCTGTCTTCCTATATTGAGTTTTTGGGTGCTTTATGTCAGTTTAAATCAACAGGATCTATTTAAACTATAACTCCTGCAGGATTGTATCTGTCCAACTCTTTCTCTCCTCTCCCATCCCGTCTCTGCCTCATCAGTTTGTTGATAATGATTAAAAAATTGAACTAATTTCCTCCAATCTGCAGGAATCTCCTGTCATGAACGCCTCGCTGCTGTCGAATAACAGGCTTCACCGAGCAGAACCGTCCAACAAAAAGTTGTATAAAAGTTCCCCGTTATCTCCCTCTGTTTGTCTGATAAACCTTCCCGTGCCAGGAAGATAACGCCCTGTCGTCTATGGGCTGCTGGAGGATGTGAGGATTTCACTTCTGAGTTTATTAACGTGTGATTTATTGCCGCAACATTTTGAAATCATGTCCCCAAAAGGTGGCAGTACAGACTCACAGTTAGTCTGTGTGTAGGTGTGTGTGTTTCTCTTCTTGTTCTACTATCTTTCTGAGGACCCATTCACGATTGAAGAGGCTTTTTTTTAGGGTTTCTCCCTCTCCTCAAGTGTGTAATATAGGTTTTAGTGGATGTAAATGGTCTGCAAAGGCGAAAATCCAAAATTCCAGAACATAGTGACATCACTACAGAACACTCACGCTCCTATTGGCTAGCGCTCCAACACATTGTACGTGATATAGGCTAAGGGGCGGGACATCTCAAGTGAGTTGCCGAATCACAACAGAGCCGGCTAGCTAACCAATCAGAGCAGACTGGGCTCTGGTTTCTGACAGAGGGTGAAAAGAGGTGCTGCAGCACAGGCAGTATGAGACAAATAAAGAGCTTTTTGAACATTAAAGCATGGAGACATGTCCCAGTAGAGACACTACATACTGATATACACCTGAACATCAGCAGGAGAGGACTCTTTAAAGTAGAGACACTACATACTGATATACACCTGAACATCAGCAGGAGAGGACTCTTTAAAGTAGAGACACTACATACTGATATACACCTGAACATCAGCTGGAGAGGACTCTTTAAAGTAGAGAGACTACATACTGATATACACCTGAACATCAGCAGGAGAGGACTCTTTAAAGTAGAGACACTACATACTGATATACACTTGAACATCAGCAGGAGAGGACTCTTTAAAGTAGAGACACTACATACTGATATACACCTGAACATCAGCAGGAGAGGACTCTTTAAAGTAGAGACACTACATACTGATATACACCTGAACATCAGCTGGAGAGGACTCTTTAAAGTAGAGAGACTACATACTGATATACACCTGAACATCAGCAGGAGAGGACTCTTTAAAGTAGAGACACTACATACTGATATACACCTGAACATCAGCAGGAGAGGACTCTTTAAAGTAGAGACACTACATACTGATATACACCTGAACATCAGCAGGAGAGGACTCTTTAAAGTAGAGACACTACATACTGATATACACCTGAACATCAGCAGGAGAGGACTCTTTAAAGTAGAGACACTACATACTGATATACACCTGAACATCAGCAGGAGAGGACTCTTTAAAGTAGAGACACTACATACTGATATACACCTGAACATCAGCAGGAGAGGACTCTTTAAAGTAGAGACACTACATACTGATATACACCTGAACATCAGCAGGAGAGGACTCTTTAAAGTAGAGACACTACATACTGATATACACCTGAACATCAGCAGGAGAGGACTCTTTAAAGTAGAGACACTACATACTGATATACACCTGAACATCAGCAGGAGAGGACTCTTTAAAGTAGAGACACTACATACTGATATACACCTGAACATCAGCAGGAGAGGACTCTTTAAAGTAGAGACACTACATACTGATATACACCTGAACATCAGCAGGAGAGGACTCTTTAAAGTAGAGACACTACATACTGATATACACCTGAACATCAGCAGGAGAGGACTCTTTAAAGTAGAGACACTACATACTGATATACACCTGAACATCAGCAGGAGAGGACTCTTTAAAGTAGAGACACTAAATACTGATATACAACTGAACATCAGCAGGAGAGGACTCTTTAAAGTAGAGACACTACTACCTGGAAATGAGAATAATATGTCTTCTTTAAAATATACAACATTACTGTTTGTGTGTTCTGTGGAGAGACATGGTCCCCACTTCCTGTCGGGGTCGGTCAAGCACTTTCCTCAGGAGAGAGCTTTCTCACGCTGCTGAGTGTAACCACACACAGAAAACTGATCATACTGATGGAATTAAAATTGTATTACAGGTGTTTTCTTAATCATGCTCGTTTCTTTAATCCAGGATTGTATTCAATACTGGAAATCTTAATTCATCGCTATCTGTGTGTCTCGAGTGCTACTTCCTCCTCTGGTGACATGAAGGTCAAAGGTCAACAGCTGTCGGATTTTCCTTGATTTCTTTACTTACATGTGTGTGTGTGTGTGTGTGTGTGTGTGTGTGTGTGTGTGTGTGTGTGTGTGTGTGTGTGTGTGTGTGTGTGTGTTTGTGTGTGTGTGTGTGTGTACATGCAGAAACAGAGGAAGAGAGGGTGAGTGGGAGTATTTATCAGACCTCAGGGGAGATTATGGGTTATGGGGGTATGGCACATTTATATTTGTGTGTGTGTGTGTGTGTGTGTGTGTGTGTGTGTGTGTGTGTGTGTGTGTGTGTGTGTGTGTGTGTGTGTGTGTGTGTGTGTGTGTGTGTGTGTGTGTGTGTGTGTGTGTGTAGGGGGGGTCAGAGGTGAAGTTCTTCCCTTCACAGTTTCTTGGGAAACACTGGTGGATGAGAATCTCCTCACACTGTCCCATAGCTGTGATATAAACACACACACACACACGCGCGCGCACATATTTTTGAATAAACAGCGCCCTCTTACGGTTCATTGGTATAAAAAATACTTCAAATTTCTAAATAAAATGCTGCGCAGGTGGACAGAGGGTCAAAATGAATGTGATTTATTTTGGATTATAGTCTTATTTTGAAATGAACAAAGATGTTAAAATCATTAATATACATTACCTTGCTTAATACAAATATATAACGACTATTCAATTCCTTCCACAGTTTGAGACACGTGCAAGTGTGTCAATAGATGTTTTATGTCTTATTCTAATAATAACCACAGCCCTAAAATAACATTAAACTCCAGGCTTTCCCCATTATCTGCTGCTGTGCTCTCAGAAAATG